CCACATTGATTGGAGTGTTACTATGATCGCCCTGAATACTAAATTACAATTCCCTTAAGTAATTGAATCTAACTAGCTTGTGGTGGCAATCCACACTTATGAAATTTGATGATAGTTAATCCATGCCCAAAATCACATTAAAATCTAATATATCTAATAAAATCAAAGTGGGTCATGTGTCTTTGTCCCATACTCGGACCACACAAGACTTATACTCAAATTGCAGGGTATACACATCCCTAAGTGGTGTAGTCACTATTAAACCATACTCCATTGAGGTATGTTCAACATCTAATTTCAAAGCAAAACATGGAGACATAAAAGAATGCGTACATTTATGATCATATAAAACACGGGCTTCAAAACCACAAATAAGAAAGATACTTGAAACTATGGCATTGGACATCTCAACATCTTAAGATGTTAAAGCATATACCCTAACTTGTCCTTTCTTTGGTGCACATACTTTGAGGCTTTACTTTATGAAGTACTACTTGCACTTTTATCCCCCGTTCTAGGAACCTCTCAGATGGGTTAGGCTATAGTAGGAGGTGGTGATAAAACAGCCTGAGATGTGTGGGGTAAACCTTCCTGTATCTGTGGTGCCTTAAGATAGTCTTTCTTCATATGCCTTAGTTACCCACATTAATAACAAGATAAGGTTGAATGAGTGTTAGATCCTGACATCTGCTGCCTAGAAGTATAGCATGATCTCTTATCACAACAAGATCCAACAGTAACTATACCACTCTCCTGATAGAAACCATGAGATTGAAAAACTCTCTGTTGGCCTTTGTGGCTTGTGGACGATCTATGTCCAATACTAAAGCATCTTTGGCCCCTGATCTTAAGCCTCTTAGACCTATCTTGAGTCACTTGACTCTTTGCAATCCTAGTCTTGATCCCTTGAACACAGTCAACTGTAGAGAAGTAAGTGTCAAAACTCTAAGACGCAACAACCATAAACAACTGCTCAATTAGTTTATCCATAAAGCGTTTGATCCTTATATCTCTATCGAGACAAGGTATGGTGCATACTGTACAACTACATGAACTAGATATCATACTCTAACATTATCATGCAAAGCGTCTAAACTAATGCCTCAAACTCAGATGCGTTGGTGGCTCAAGCAATGTCAAGTAAAAATTAGCTTAGAAAAGTAGTGTAAAACGCCTCCCATATTAATGGGTTAGCACCAATTGGCCTACCTCTAAGTAGAGACTAATACCGTAGATAAGACACATTCTTAAGCTTAAAGCCAACCAACTCAATTGATTAGGCACTAGAGCATCCTAAAGTAATTTAGATGTTCTCCATCTCATTTAGGAAAATTTGTGGGTTCTCGATCACGTTAAAACTAGAGAATGATGGTTGTTTCAAACTTAAATTGACATTGATCATTTTGACCTTGTGAGATAAATGTAGGACACACTGGATGTTGCTCCTTTATGCGATGCTGAAGATCATCCATGCGAGTTGTCATCACTTCCATCACCCTACTAACCCCTTGTAGGTTAGCTAGTACGTTTGCCAAGGTTGACTCCTTAGTGGGTACCTCATCTCTAATCTCCTAAGATTGAGCATTAATAGACTCCTCTACAAGTTTCTTTATTATAGGTGTCCCAATATTAGTGGCAATTAGTGCCTCACCATCAACAGCAATTGGTGGTTCCTCACTAGCAAACCTAGCAACCTTACCTTGCTTACCACATCCCTTAACAATGGAAAACTGTGGCCTTGTTGTAGCATCAATTAGAGTGTCTCAGTTTACCATATCCCTAGTTATAGCTCGTTTCTGAAGTGGCATCCAAAGTTAGACAAAGTGCAAACACTAAACTTAGTGCAGATACAAGGTAGGTACTAGACAAACTTGGGAATCCATGTACTATCCCATTCGCTATTTGTGCTATTTGTCACATCCCAAAAACAAAACAAGACACAAACACCTAACTACTACGTTGATTCAAACAAAACTCCTAAGACTTAGTTAACCTAATGCTTTGATACTAACTTTGTCATGATCCAATCTCAAGTTCATGACTGACACAAAGGTATTGATAGACATTACCCTCTTAACACATGCAAGCCTAAATAATAACAAAACCATACATTCACATGTATTACAATGTAACCATGGTTAATTATATACAGCTGCACTAATCATTCAACATGCTAACATGCTTACACTGTATAAGCAAATAAACATAAATCTGAGCATTTGTCATTTTATGGTGAATACAACTTATAAGCCATCTAGTGGCAAAACATTGAAAGTCTAATTATTACATGACATAACAAAGTCATAAATCCATAATAGTATGAAATATAAAGACAGACTCAATTAATGGAGTATGACATAAATGAAAAGGTTGATGTCTACCAGATGCCATGACGATCACCTACCGAACCAACTGTAAAATACTGCTCCTCCCAAATGGACAGCGAGCAAAGCTATCTACTCTATTGATCTAAAAAAAACTAGGGGGTAATAATGTGTGAGTCATAAAGATTCCGTGAGCAGATACGGGAAAGGGGAACAAGCAGTAGGGAAGACTATTTAAAAGAATATACTTTCAAAAAGTTTGCAAATAGATGATAAATCAATATCTACAAAGTTCATCCTTTCAAACACTAATACAAACTGAGTCTCACCTGTTTAGCGTCCTCACCTAACAATCCCACTTACCAAGCATGTCAACAATCATCTAGTCAATGCTCGACCAATTCCTTTATTTCTGAGTTTGTTATCCTTTAAGCAACATCAAAAAACGTATACCTTTTCTCACTCCAAAATTGATATTTTTCAAACGGTACATGGATGGCATACGTTTTCTTTTATAAAGCATTATTGGTAAAGCAATTCATAAACTTTTAAAAGAATATTTAAAAGTTGGAAATCACATCAAAAGTCTAATTAAACATCATTTCAAAAGTGTTTGAAACATAATTTGAAGTTATCAAAGATTTAGTCATAAACATAAACATATTTCTATCTAAAAAAGCTTTATAAGACATTTTGATACAAAAATAAACTCAATCTTTCTATACATCGTGCCTAGATATCCATAGATAGCTCTCTCTATCAATAGATAGAAAACAAAATGCAATTCTGAAGGTTTTGTGTTGCATCTATTTATACTTCACGAACAAGCATCGATAAATAAGCTATAGAGAGCAAAAATTCAACTTAGAACTCATCGCTAAGACCTCAAACAAGTTTATAATTCCACCATAGACAAATAAACAACAAGTACTCAGCATATAAACAATGGTTATGATGCAATCTATCAATCCAATCATGAGTTCGATAACAATTTAGTCTAAATAATGACATTAGACATTCATTTGAAATTAACTTCATCTAAATCACCATATTAGAGATTCATTCAATCATAAATGGTGCTCAACCAAGGATAACTAACCACCTAGTGTTATCACACTAGAATCGAATAGTCCATTACTCTATGGCTGGTAACTATTTAATAAAAAGGGTTGTACTTCGTTAACCACCAAATCCACTGAGTCCTAAGAACGTAGAGGCTTGACCTACCTTGGGTTGAGCCATCAACTTTGATTTTAAGGATGCCATCTGGGGGAGGTTGCCATGAGATATTAACATGAGAGACAAAAAAAGATTGCCTAAGGAAAAGAGTACATAACTTAGTCCATCAATCGGAATCATCAATAATGGCACCACCCTCATTAGCTCAAATCAAAAGTAAAGAGTGCATCTTAATAAGATAAAAGATCTCATTAGTATTCCAAGATTTGTTAGAGAAGATTGTCTCGTTACATGCAAGCTAGACGGACCAAAAGGTGGAGGCACCAACATTGAACCATCGTTTGTGGACAATACCCGAGAAAAGGCATTTCGCTCAAGATTGGATGAACATAGAGACCGTTCAAGGTGCACACCATACAAGTCCCCACCATTGCAAAACAAGTCCTCATACTTGCTATTTTGAAATTTGAATCTTAACCTTCATTCCCTATCCATGAGCTAGCAATTATATAATTTTCCATACACCATAATACCTTCATTTTGAAATTTGAATCAGATTTTTTTGCAATCTAATTATTATTTCAATCTTAACGTTCATTCTCTATCCATGAGCTGGCAATTATCTAGTTTTCACTTAAAATATGGCAACAAACAAGATGCAAATATTTCATTAAGATCAAAAGAGTGTTTCAAATTAAATGTTCAAAATTATGTCCAATTTATTCTTTTAAACATTTGCAAATTTTAATTTTTATGTCCATATTAAATTTTAGTTTTTTTTACTTTTGACATTAAAAATTATAATTTATTAATATAATATTTTTTAAAAAAATATTAAAAACACTTAAGTCAAAGCATTTTTTTTTAATTTCTGGATTAAAACGAAAGTGTACATCCCATTCAAAAGAGAAAGAGTATATTTGATGCTGAAGTTCATACCATTTTAAGCCATTCATTCTTATTAATTGATTTTGTCATATTCTATTTTTTTCTTCCAAAAAAATCTTTTTTTCTAACTTTTGGTTGATAATTTTATTATGTTTGAGTTAAAATATAATGCTCTCCTTCCTCACAAAGAAAAGCTAGTTAAGAGTATTCGAGTGATCTACGAGTGAATATTTAATTTAGTGATAAATATATGTGTATCCCTTTACTTAAAAAATTGGGTCCAAATTCTCTTTTCCAAATCAAAAGAAAAACTAGCTACGAAGCGGGGAGTTCGTGAATGATGAATCCAATTTGAGAGTTTTGTTTGTATTCATGGCAAGTTATAAATGTTAGGTTTCATTACATTAAGAGGACCTCTTAATTTCTGTTAAAAATTTAATAATAATATAATAATAATTTTTTAATATATCCTCTAGGGTTTGTGTGGTGGGCCATGCACGCCATGTGCCTGCATGTGCTGTGTCTTTCTCTCATCGGCCCACCACTTCTTTCCTTTGAGCAAATAAATGGGGTTTCTGCACATTCCTCTCTTTCTCATTCCTCTCTCTCTATGTTTCTGAAACTCTTTCTTGGATTCTGATACACTTTCTTGGATCTGTTGAACGGCTTCACTCTCTGCAACTTTTGTTTCTAATACTTCTCTCAAGATTAATTTTAGCTCTTTCTATTTCCGTACAAGAAAAAATTTAGCAAGGTACGTAGTGGTTTTTAGTTTACTACTATTATTCAGTACTTAAACTTTGATATATATTCAACAGCTAAACTAAGCTAAGTAGTGTACTGTTTACAAGCAATCTTGATCTCTTGCACTTAGTTCTATGGTGTCTGCAGTTGTCCTCTTTGAAACCCTAGCTTCTTCTCTTGCATCATGCAATTTATTTTAACTTTAATCTTCATGCCATTTATTTTCCATTTTATTTCAATATAAGCATTAGGCGAAAATGAGAAAGGTGGCTATTTCTGATGATAAATTGTTACTTGAAAGCTTTCTATAACAAGATATAGATACCACACTGAAACGGATTTCTTTGGTTTGTGCAGGATGCGCTCCCCAGGTTCACTCAAGCAAGAATTTCTTAAGAAATGGATAATGGGTCTCCAAAGATGTAGCTCTTCAAAGAACAGTATGAGTGTCTTGGATAGAAAGAAGGCTATAAAGTTGTCAGCAGATATAGCTATGGCTTCTGCAAGAAAAGGTACAACTTGTTGGAGTCGAGCTCTCATTGCCAGTGCTTCCAAAGGCGCAAGTGACAAACATCTTGTTGAGCAAATATTGGGTCCAGAGTCTGAGAGGCTAATATTGATGAAGAAGTTTTCGACAGGAGCATTAGTGTGCAGCAAGAGGATCAGAAGCAAGAAGATCCTGAAAAGGAGTTGCGGAATCCGAAGAACAAGAAAATGTGCACCCCAAGCTGCTCTAGCTAGCTCTATTGCAAAAAGGTTGGTTAGGAAAAGAACCCAAGTTTTGAAAAGACTAATTCCTGGAGGAGAATTTATGAATGAAGTGTCTTTGATTGAGGAAACTCTAGATTATATCATATCTCTTCGAGCCCAGGTTGATGTAATGAGAAGTCTTGCCAGTGCATCAGAGCTAATGAATCATAATTAAGAGCATCAGTGGTAAATTGCTCTTTAATTTGTTCCTTGTATCTTTATATCCTTCCTCTTTTTTTTTTGTTTGGCCCAACGCTTAGTCTAGCTAGATGAAGGAAAAAGGAAGCTGGAACAGTTGAAGCATGCATGTACAGATGAATTTTATATATGTAAGTCAATCAAGGCTTTAATTTCAATCTTCTACAAGTCGTTATTGACTTGCATTAAGTTTATAATCACAAGCATAAGTTTCTTATTTATTAGTTGGTAATGTCTCTGTAAAAACCAACTCATACTTCATCTTCTGCTAATTTCTTTCCATATCGCTCTTTTTTTATTAATTATAGACTGTTCCATAGGTCTTCAACAGAGGAGACAAATGATAATGAGATTGGTTTGATTATCAGCAGCCACAGGAAATATTAATGAGTGAAAAAAGGAAGATGGTTTGAAAGTACTACTCATCTTTCATTTGCTTTAAATAGTATCATGAATAAGTGAACATTAAAAAGAACATTTAGCTACTCGATTGCTGTTTGGTATGCATGTGGAGAGAGAGAGTGAGAGAGAGAGAGGGAGGGAGGGAAATATATGGGGAATAATTCGGTGCAAACGATGAATGCATGCGAATCAAAGGCTTACCATTTGGAGTATTTCTTAAACAGCGGTATTATTCTTTTTGGTGCTTGTTTTGGTTAAAAAAACTGAAATACTTTGTATTATTGAGGTGTGTAAAGAAAAAAGAAAAGGTTGCTGTTGACATGTTTCAATGAAAGCTATAAAAACTGCACACCCATCCGCACACCTTCACCTTCACCTTGAAAGCATGTTCAACATGATGGCGACAACAGCAAGAAATTGAAGCTGCTTTTAAAACCAAGGATCATTTTTGCTCTTATTGCATATCTTTATCTTGTCTACCTATTACTTACATATGTCAGTCTCACCTAGGTGATTAATAGGCAAATTATTATTTTCTAATCTTAATCCTAAAAATAACATTATTCATTATATATGTTTTGTTTTGTTTTTATTTTGAAAGGAGTGATTTGAATCAATGTTTTGAACATGAAAAATATGTATATCAATTATCTTTTTCTTTAAAGACAAATTGAGTATTTGTATTAATGTAATGATTTGAGTACATAGGACTGCTTGAAGTCTTTAACCTTGAATATGGGCACAAGACTTATTTCAGTCAAATGCATATAAGTAACCACATACACCAATTATTAAACAGCCCAAATGTTGAAACTAAGATTTGTTAAAAGAGATATCATTTTAGAGGGAAATGGGTATACCTCGGACTTGGGGAAAAGAAAATGAGATGTCATGTTTTTCTAGAAGTGTAATGAGAAAGGACTTGCGAACCCACATATTCGTAGCAACCGAAAAGAATGCGGGATTCAAATGGTAAATTGTGATTGATATATTATATGTCAAATTGTCCTCAGAATCTGTGCACCAAAAGACAACTATGCCATGATCTGATTGATGTATTGTCTGCACTAATTTTGCTTCAATTTATACAGTCTGTAATCTTCGAGGGAAGGCATTTACTATTAAATTTGTCAACACATAGCGTCCACTTTTCACTAATCAAGTTCAAAGAAAGCACTTGATAATGAAAAATGTCATTTCCCCTCGTTGTTATTATTCAACACCATTGTACCACATAGTCAAAAAAGTTTGGAAGATATTATCAGCTTCTGTCCATGACTCAAGGATCTCCCTTGTATACATAAATCTACTGTTTCCCCTTTGCTCTAATCCAATGTGTATAATTACATTGATTTGAAAAATCAAATTTACTTAAATCTGTAAACACTAATACATAAATCAAGAGAAAGTCTCTAGCCATGACAAGAAGAAGAGTATCACAATTCTTAATTACAAATTCATAACCTATGCAGCTAAGCAATATCCCAATTGCCAAAGATAAATGGAAAGTGAAACTCAATTTAAGAGCAAACATAACAGCCTTTAACTCTTAAACTTTAGGAATGAGGTGGTTGTGAGAAAAGTGTCTAATTAATAACATATGAGCACCAACATTTTGCAGATGCTATACCTTCAGTCTACCTTGTATATTATGCCACCTTTCAACTTCTCTTTTCATTGTTAGCTTTTGAGACAAAAGCAAGGGACATAAAGTAATAAAAATCAGATTCAACTAGTCATTTCCATCATCATGTCATGAACATCGATCTCATCTCAAGTATATATAGTTGCATTTGATTTACTGATTCAAATTCCAAATATTATAGTTAAAAATAGAACTAGTTAATTCGATTGTGTTCTTTCAATCCATCTGATTGGATGCCTCTTTTCGCAAATGATAATCATATATATTAATAATTTCTCTTTCTTTATTGCGTGCCTTGGCCGGATAACCAAGCCTCTTTTGATCAAATTTCTTTCTTAATCTAGTATTGTGCTCGCCAGCTAATTTTCCTTCATTATTATAAAGATAAAAGCTCTTCCAAATCATTCATGTTGACTGAGCTGTTGCATTTCTTCTATAATTTCCTCTTCACCATCCCACTTCATGAAACAAGCGGGTCTATGTATATCTATAACATACGTAAGTGCGAGTTAATCATCTCATATAGGAGGACCGGCTCTACCCATTTGGTTGCGCCTAATGACAAAGGCCTCATACTATGCCTAACTCATTTGCCACTTGACTAATGTTTTTTTTTTATTTATGTTTTTTAATATTTTGTTCGTTCCAAAATATTGAAGTATCCATTTTTTACTTCAATTTTTTTTTTGAAAGTTTAGATTTCATTGCCAGTAAACAGGGAAAAGGATCCTTTGAGTTACAAAAGAAGTTTTCCTGTCTTTGACCCACAGTTAGCTCAAAGACTTCAAAATTTTAGTATGCCCTTGCCTATACAAAATATGCGCGTTTGCAAAAAATCCTGATCCTTACAAAACTCCTCCACTCACTCAAAAAATTCCCAGCCATTAAGATAAAAGGGAAAACAAAAGAAATCATCCTACCAACAAATCAGCTTGCAAAGATAAACAGGAAAATCACAAGAACACCCCAAAAGCGCCACCCTCAGCTGAAAACAAACATGGCATAAACAGAACTCATAGACCTCCTGGATAGGACAATAAAGAAAGCGCCTCTTGCATAAAGACATTAACCGAGGTTTTGCATGTAGAAAACCACAATAGCAAGAAAGACACAACAAAAACCACCTATGCTCTCGGGAAAGAATCTGCCTTCTAGCTGACTTTTTTCCATAACAGAGCCTATAGAACAGTCACTAGGTAGGACACATTAACAGCGAAGTAAACTTCAAAAACCAAAACAAACTGTACAAAATTCACAATCGAACCCCCTATTTGAGAGCTAACATCATAAACTCCAGAGGGAAAAGACACACACACTTTGGGAACTTCCCATAATCAATAGAAAGAAACCACCCATTCCAAAGCAATCAAAAAGAAAAGCATGTCAATAAACCACATTTAAGATATCAATCTCTCTAAATACCCCATCCTTTTCATGCTCATCTGCCATCTAGTTAGCGCTTTTAAGGACATGATTAATTTCCCATTTACTTACCCTCTTCTTCAAATTTTCAATTCTTAGAATCCAAACTTTGTGCTCTAGGGGGCCAGTTTTGGAGTCTTAACCCATTGGACAGTGCTTGTGGAGTCACTTTACACCACGAGTGAGTGCGTATCAACCCACCTCGATGCAATAAAGATAGTCAAGGCTTCTTTTATAGCCAACAACTCAGCAACATTTGCGTATGCTTCACTAATAGATTTAGAGAAAGTAACCTTAATTTCTCCCATTTCATTTCTCATGACCCCTTCAATGCTAATCGTTCTTGAGTAGCCTCTAGTTGCCCCGTCCTCGTTAAACTTCTTCTAGCCGATAAGGGGTGAAGACCATTAGACATTTTGCCATGGCGTCTTTTTTTCCCTTGGTAATCTAGCCATTGACGACAACCTATAAATGTCCATCGTGCTCTTAACCATGTCCGGCCATTTGCCTTTTGCCTAACTTGCCACGTGTAGCTTTAAAAGTTTAAAAGCTTGGCTAACATCCAATTGTTTTTGACTAAAAACCACCATATGGCGTAATAGCCAAATCGTCCACACCATTCCAAAGAAAGACATATCAAAAAGAGCCCTACCCCCCTCTTTGACAACCGTTCCATTCAACACTAGAAAAAATATCATTTGAGTCACCCGGTGTGCACCACAACAAATTCCATTCGCTGTATCACATACCCCACAACTTGCAAGATTCCTTAGATAGAAAAAACAAGTGTTCTATTGTTTGTATTCCAAAATTGCAAAGAACACATGAAGCACTCCCTCTCCAGATCGTTATCTTTCGTAACTAATTCACCCTTAACAGCCACTTTACTTATCAATAACTGCCACACCAAGACCTCCACTTATGAGGTACAATTCACCTCTACATAAATTACCATATCTTCTTAGAACTCATGCTCGTCCCCATGACACTCTTGTAGAAAGAACTTGCTGTATACATGCCATTGGTTTCACCTTTCCAAACAACCTTATCTTTCAAGCCTTTGATAATCGAGCAACCTTTTAGTAACACCACCATTTGGTTCCATTGCCCCATTTCCCACCCAAAGACCTTCTTTCGTAAGTCCACGTTCCACACCCATTCTTTATTAGCCTATTCTTTAAAATCCTTGTCACTTCCCACTTTTTTAATTGCAAGGGCAAAGACTCTTGAAAACATAGATTTAAAGATATGCCCTTCAACCATTTATCCTCCCAAAAAGATAGATTTTTTCCATCGCCAATAACCACTCCCAAGTTAGATTTAACCTACAAGAAGAATTTGTTAGTTGGGGGATGGCTAATAATGTTACATCAGACAATCGAGGAATGCCCATTGGCATTAGTTACCAAGAAAAGGGCTAAAGGGTCACTATTAGTCGTTACATCAATAACTTCCCTCCACAAGCTTCCACCTTCATTACTATATCTCCATAACCACTTATTAAGTAAAAATCTATTTTTAAGACCAATACCACCATTCTCTCTGTAGTTGCAAACACGACCCAATCCAGAAGGGGCATTCTATTTTTTGGACCAACCCTACTCCATAAGAACCTATTCTGCATCTTTTCAATCTTATTAATCATAGCCTAAGGTAATTGGAAGAGAGACATATAATAAGGAAGCAAATTAGCTAAAACAGATCTTAGCAAAGTCACCTTACCTCTAATTG